TTAGCAAGACGGGGTGAACGTAAGAGAAGAAAGACCTTGGGAGAAAGGAAAAAACTATGGTGGGACTTGGACACTCTTGGGTTCTTCTGGCCAAGTTCAAGGGAGAGAGCAGTCTACTTTATCCTCCAGTCTGGTCCTTTTTCTTTGTGACTCTACATGGTAGACCAGTTGGCTTGCACTGCCCGATGAACACAGGACTGATTCAGAGGTTCATCTACAGTTCTTACTCCATGTTAACCCAGGAGAAAGCTCAAAAATAAGAGCGGCAATGAGGAGACCCATTGCTTATGTATCCATAAGTCATCCCTGCGCTCCAACACCAGTATGAAAAACTGTCTTAGAGAGAAAGGCAGACTCTAGTATGACTGTAGGGTGTGGGTATTGTAACGATTAAAATGGTTTTTAATTCTTCCTCCTCCTTACCCTTCTTTCACTCCCCCACTCCTCCTGTGATATTTCTGAAGATCGAACTCAACTCAGGGTAACATGCATACTTGGCAAATGATCTATCATTGACTTTGCTTAGCTCCCTGTACTGCCTCCTGTTTCAATATTTTTTTTTATTTCAAATATCCTTATTTGGTTAAAATTGATGACTTTTCTGTAGATGAGTGCATTATCCGTGCTGTGCATATAACCTCTTTAATTTACTAGGCTGGAAGGACACTCTGATCTTGACTAGTTCTAAAACCCACTTTTTTTTTAAAGAAAAAATGTATTTTTATATAAACTTAGGGTATTATGATATATCCTTAAGAAATATATAAGAATGAAATGGCTCATTTCTTTCTGGTAGTAAATTAAGCACAAAAGGATTTTAAATTCAGAATTCAGAATTTAATTCTTAAATGATAACTGAAGTCATTTGTGAGAAAGCCCTTTAATGACCCAGAGAATCATATGTATGCGCATGAGCGTGGTATTCATTTTTAGTGTGGTATCTTTGCTCTTTTCCTTACTAATATTATGGATGATGGAACTGCCTGAAAGACTAAGCTCCTTGGCCAGGGTACATTTAGTGATGCTCTCTATAGTAGGATGATTCTGGATTGCTTTGTGTTATTTTCTCTAGGACCTGGATTTGAGCATTTTCTTTTCATTTTGCTAATTTGGGACTATTTAATTTTTATATGCCAATAAATCTTACACTGAGAACAGTGAAGCTGGAATTAAAACAGCCCCTACATATACTAACCCCACATTTTGTTGTTGCTATCTTGCAATGCTTTATGTAGTGTGGAGTGAAACAATAACCACTTTACAAGTTACCTACAAAACACAAACTTTATTTAATGAAAGTACATATTGGTAAATTCAAAACAGACTGTAAAGTTTCTAGAAGGAAGTTTTCTGGAATTTCATCTGATCATGAATCTATATTAATAAATGCCATTTAGTTTAGTCTAACTAAATCTTTCCTGAGGTTACCAATTAATTTCTCTGAAACGTCTTCAGATTGGGGACACACTGTTCAATTAAGAAAATGTCACGTTGAATCTTAGCGCTCTGGGTGACTTTGAATCTTATGATGGCCTCAGAGTCACGACGACTTTTCTGAGACCAACCCACAGAAGTTCTACGAGCATGTATCCTCCAAAATGGTCCTATTTTCTTTGGAGATTATTTACTATGTCTGGAATCCGAATGTTTGATGCTTTTAATAAGAGGAATAATACCGAAAGTATTTTGATATTCAGCCAACAAAATTTATATGATCCACCAAGGAAGGTTTTTAGATCCTGACCTTGATCAGTTTTGTTTCTGAGGTCGCAGATTTGCTGAAGAAAGCATTGCAAAATCCTTCTCCCCCTCTCCTCCCTCCAGTGTCCTGCACACTCCCACAAGCACACAGGCATACAGACACTCGTGCTCACCCTTTAACGACCAGCTCCTGTTAAACTGTTCACGTACATAGCAGCTCCAGGTCTGCGAGTCTTTCTTAGGGAAGCTGACTTCACCAACTACTCCTTTATTCTCAGTTTACATTATAAGGAATAGTAGCAAACGTTTCAATGCTTATAATGTTCCCTATGAGTATATCAATTGAGCAAGTGGGTTGGGGCGGGGGAGTCTGAGGAAGTTTATTATTTTTCCACCAATATATTTGACACCACCTTTGGAGAGTGAACAAAAGGCACACTGTCAAGACGACAGACCTGGACAAAATGTTACTGTTTGTTCTTCACAAGCACAGAGGTATATTTAAGCAAAGAAAGACATTCCATAGCTCTCTTGGGACTTCCTTCCTTTGGCTGAGTTACACCAGCATGTTCACGCCACTCTGTTCAGCCCTTGCCAGAATTTAAAATGCAGACTACTATTTGCCAACACTTATGTACTGCATCTACAGAAATCCACATTAGACTTCCACTCGTCCTCCAAATATCATAGAATAAATAGAAAGAAATGTGTATACACATGAAATTACAGTAGAAATCCTGTAAATAAGAAGTGCCCTTGTCTGACAGCTTCTGTACCTTATGCAACAAAGCCTCTAAAGTCCAGAAGTCACCTGGTTTGGGATTAGGTTTCCAATCCAGGCTTGCTGACATGCACAGAACTTTTGGCAAACATGGGCCGGGTTTCGTGCGAGGCTGGGTAGAATGCTTCATTCATGTGGAAGCCTATGTGAAACTCGGCGGCCTCGGCTAGGTTCCTCCTTGAGTTTCACATTCAAACAGTCCAATGTTTCAGAGTAAAGTTAAAACAGAGGGGCATGAAGGAGGAGGGAGAAACAGGACATCAGATGGCTCATCGGGATGGGATCGCAGTCTGCTGTCTCACAAACTTATGCCTTCCTGTGTCTTTGACTTTGCATCTATACTAATAGCACTACTTATTGCAGGCTGTGGGAACAAACGTGCACCTGGGCATGCTCAGCAAGCCTTCCCAGTGCTAACAGGGACCATTCCTGATCCTCAGAGGTCCTTGGAAGCCATGAAGTCCTCGCTCAAAGTAACAAGGGGACTGTTCCCAGAAACAGATGACTGGGATGTTCTTTATAATGTAGATTCCAAGAGGCGAAAGAGCAAGGCGATTTTGCTGACCCTTTCCCAGCTTTTCCTACAATAATCCACATTCTAGCGGGGAGAACTCCATGTGCTTCTACTTGACAGGAACATTCTTGAAACATTCCTCCTCCCTCTGCCTCCTTCAAGTCCTGTCTGGTGGCCACTGGCTTCCTTTCTTTACAGGGCAGACTGTCAGCTCTGTGGAGCCACAGCCTGGGACCTCACAGCCTTCCTGGCTGGATCAGGCTCCTAGCCTCCAGCAGAAGAGGAACACTATTCAGTTCTTGGAGGAGAATTGAGGAGGAAGCAAACACATTCATTATGTATGAGGTTTTGAACGTGAAGACAATAGTGAAGCTGACCGATGATTAGAAAACATGTTGTCTGTTTCAGGAACCACTTCTTATTTTGTTTTCTTAAATTCTTTATTCCAATTCATTAAAAAAAAAGTTTCACTAAAACTTTGGGCTACTGAAGATTTTTTTTTTAATGTAACTTTTGTTTTTCTTCTGCTCTTTTCTTTTGTCTTACTGGTTCTGTTACTCAAAAGATCACAATGCCATTTAAACACTCGGGGTTTTTTTGTTTGTTTGCTTGTGTTTGTTTTGTTTGTTCTTTTTTTTTAACCGAAACTCTTTTGGTAAAAAAGCATCTTGAATGCTAAGGATTTCAGTACTCATAAAAAAAGCAACAAGGAGGCCTCAAGGCACGTGGTAATTTGGGGAAGCGGGACACTTAAGTAGGAGTTGACAGGACTGGTTCTGTGAACCATCTTTACTACTTGCTTTTAGACATCTTGAGTTGTTAGGTCAGCAGCTCTCGACCCGTGGGTTGTGATCCCTCTGTGAGGCGGGGAACCACTGTTTCACAGGGATCGCCTAAGACTATCGGAAATATCAGATGCTTCCATTATGATTTCTAACTGTAGCACAATTACAGTTATAAAGTAACGAAGAAGAAAATTTTATGATGGGAGGGGGTGTCGCCACAGCTTGGGGAACTGTCTTAAAAGGTCACAGCATCAGGAAGGTTAAGTACAGCTTTGTTAGAAAGTCAACATGGTAAAAGAGCTTTGCCAGAAAAAAAAATCTTTTTAAATTAAAGGTTCCTTTAGAAATGAAGTTTAACGCATAACGGCAGGAGAACCCAAGCCAGTAAATTATCTGAAGGAACTGCTATCAAAGCATTGAGAGGAAAAAAAAGGCCCTTTTACTGAACATAGTAAATACTCACAATCAAAGTAAATGGTATGTTTGAGGTTAAAGTCCACAGATCAAAGTACTTTGCAAAATATCAAGTGTGAGCATAAGGAGGTGGGAAGGGGGAGAGCCAGAAAACTATCTCTAAAAAAAGTTGACTATGGCAATAGGGAAAACCTGTCAGAAAATCTACTTCATACGAGAGTAGCTTAGATAAGATTCAGCTTGGGTAAGGGATTCTCAAAATCAGTCACCCCAAAGTACACTAGACATATAAAAACCCAATAACGATCATCATAATGAAATCTCCTAAACAACTTCTCATTCCACAGTAGCAATGAATAAAACAGTGTTAAGTGGGGAACGCACTCTTCCACACCCGTCTTGCTGTCCGGCAAGAGCAGTCATTAATGCGCTGTCTTTATCCTGGTGAGCTCTGTCTTGTTGACTTTACAGCGTGTCTTTAGAATGTTAAAATAAGAAAGCAGTCTAAACAACGGAATGATGGTGTCTACAGGTCCTCTCGGCTCTGTGGCAGTCACGCCTAAAGAAAACTCTGAGACAGTGCTCAGTTTTGGTCAGGTCTGTGTCGCGGCTGCCACAGGGACAGGGGACTTTAGGCAAAGTTTACAATCACACTCACAAAATACCTGATGCTACTGCCACATCCCGGCACACAGTGTTTACCTGGGAATCCCTCAGCCTCCTCCTATGTTTACTGAAAAGTCATTTTAGAGACACTAGTCACAACCACACCAGAAAGCAAGTAATTCCCCAATAAAAACCTTACCTAGAAGAGAGGCTGAACTTTTCTCAGTTGCTTCAACAGAGGAAGTGGGAGTCGCTGGCCTTTTACATGTAGAGATTGTTTATTTAGCCCTTTTTAAAAGGTCTTGACCTCCAGAGGTTTAAGATTAAGTCCAATCCAAGTGTCTGCAGGGAGGAAAAGGAGACTGGGGGTCAGGAGGGAACGCAAATGAGAGAGGCAAAGAATCTCAGCTGCTGGGTGGTACTCCCAGCCTGAGAGCATTTGAGCTATTTTCAGCATTACCAGCAGCTGGACTTGTCTGCAAAGGGATGAGAATGCTTTGCCCAGTTCCCCACCCCCACTCCGGGGGGGGGAAAACCAACACAAACCAGGAAACCCACAACAACTTGGTTCATTGTGCAAATATTCATTGAAATTTTGAGGAAAACTGCCAGCGCTATTGAAAACACCACACACACACACACACACACACACACACACACACACACACACACACACTTACATACATACAGAAACTGAATCTTAAAGGAACACTGTACTTTGTTCCAACCATGATGTTTTCAAAAGGGTTTACCTGATCAGTAGAATGTAAGAAATTGACGAGGGAGACTTCTGACCTTGCTTTCTCAACACTGGTCTTAATGCGACATTTTAGATCTCAGGTAGGAACATCAGCTCCCAGCCTCTTCTTAAGACCACAGGCAAATGGTTTCTTTCTAGTACACACCTACATGTCCACTTTAACTATGCTATTTTTGAAAGCTATTTGGTTAAGCTGATGACATTTCTTATCTGCTGGCTAAGACTGGGGACCATTCAGTGACGTGATGCAGAGAGGCTTCTGCCTCCATAAGCCCAGTGGAAAAAAAGCCATTCACACCAGGTCACCAACTATGACAGGCACACTTGGGACTTTTACTTGGTTTTCAGAATGAATAACCACAATCTAGAAGTTGTATTTGGACTTTTTCTTGTTTAACATTTATGGGGCAAGCATTTCTCAGCTCACAGTATACTGGGAACTCCGGGAATACAAAACTGGGCAGATAAATGTTGCTTCGGCTTTTAAGGATTTATTGTACGTAGGCTGCAAGAATAAGTAAAAACAGAACCAAGGTCCCTTTAACATTGTTTCATTAGGCCCCGGCTATATCACTGTCCTATCTTGTTTTCTATTGTTGTGATAAAACACCATGACCAAAAGCAACCTGGAGAAGAAAGGGTTGATTTCATCGTATGGATCACAGTCCTTTACTGAGGGAAGTCAGTTCAGAAACTCAAGGCACAAACCTGAAGCCAGGAACTGAAGCAAAGACCCAGGAGGGAAGGTGCTTACCGGGTAACTCAGTCTGCTTTCCAGGACCACCTGCCCAAGAGTGGCACCACCCACAGTAGGCTGGGCCCTCCCATATGAATCACTGACTGAGGAAATACTCTACAGGTTTACCTACAGGCAATCGCTTAACAAGGGGTTCCTCTTTCCAGATGCCCCTAGCTTGTGTCAAAAACCTAACCAGCACAGCCATCAGGAAGGAAAGGCTGTGGCTATACCAAGCAAATGTTGCAATTTTTTTTAAAGCTTTGATTCCATGAAGATGCATTCAACACAGAACCATATGAGCAGTCAGAAAGCAGAGTCTGACTCAAGGGCTACAAGGGGACTCTCCAGTCATTTGTACTTTGTTTTGAGACAAATGCAAAACCAGTTTCATCTTTGCATCAGTGACATCAGGATTGATTTTCAAAACATAGTGAACAAAGCATGGTAGAGAATAAAAAATGTCATGTGACTCTTTCAAGTAGTATGCTATAATGGTGAAATCTTTCAGCTGAGTTCACCTTGCCCTAAAATAATGATGAGGCTCTTCTAAATATATATATTTGGAGATATCTATCTATCTATCTATCTATCTATATTTGGAGATATCTAATTATAATCTTAAATAAGGTTAGCTTTGATTTTCAAAGTACTTACCAGTTTTAAAATATCATTATAGAATAATGCATTTTTCTATTTGATTAAATAGTCATATTTTATTGAGCGTTAATCACCTACCGGTTTAAACTAGATGCTTGTTTTCCTTGTTGAATGATAGCTCTACCAATAAAGATGTGAAATCTATTCTCAGACAAGTTTCTTAAAGTTATTTTTCCATGTTCCTTATATGTGCTTCCTTGAGAAGCTATGAATGTCAATGAGAGAAATAAGGATTGACTCTCTGACCACTAAGTCAGCTATTCTTTTTCATTCCTGGCTGTCGGCTTTCCACACCAATCCCGTGGGACGTGCACTGCCTCACTTTCACCTGCATGGTCACATTACCTCAAAATTCACACACAAACAAAGAGGTTATGGGTCTGATCCCGATTCGTTTAATATCAGTTCTGTTGTACACTGTGTCTCACCCATGACTTTTTTGTTCCCAAAGTTCCTGAGCCGGGATCCAAATAGCTCCTTTCAACAACACACTTAACATCTCAGAGAACAAATTAGACTTAAGCATATTTTAAAATGGTAAAGGATGGTCAGTTCTTGACTTTTCTACGTAACTTTTATCTCAACAGCCATGCTAATTACATTCATTCATATTCTCTCTCTTTTCTGTTTTTGTAAATATATCAGGTTTGAATAATCCATCAGTGATTATATTTCAGTGAGCCCCTGACTTGTTTTGGAGATGTGAGAACAGTAGGCAAAATATCTGGGCAGAGATGTGGGCTCTAAGAAATAAGGTAGGTCTCGTCATGAGAATCTGAGTTAAAATCCAAAGTGAGACCAGTTGCCTTGGTAGTAACTGAATGTCATGCATTCTGTATAAGCACAGAATAAGTTTCAGACACTAGAGTAAGAAGAGTCTTAGATGGAGATTAGTGGACACCAAGTAGAAGAATGTTAAAGGACAGCTCAGTTGTGCATTTTCTTGTCTCCCTCCAAATACCTAGCAAGAATCTAGATGATTCTGAGGTCAATGCTGTATTAGAACAGTGTTTACTAAGACACAGTTTACATAGACCAAACCATCTAAGAGGGTATTTACATCCCAAGGGAGGATCTTGCTAACTCAAATAACACCTCAATTAGAGCTGCTGGTAAGACAGATATTTGATTTGGTGGAGAGTCTTTCTGTTATTCTTTCCTATGCTGCTGTCCCACCCTAAATAAATGAATATGCTAGTTTAGAGTTTGAATAACCTCATCAGCCTTTCAAATACACTCCTCACTGTTGCAAGTGGCCCCAGAGTGCTCCATGTTCCACAGAACTTCGTAAAAATAAATCCCCACTGGAAAAGAACATCTGGGCCCACATTGGCAACCTTCAGGAGTTTCCACTCAGGCGGTAGTTCTGTGGTAAGGCACTCAGGTGGTTTAGGGTCTATCCCTTAGCACAACAAAACAGACAGAGGCAAACAAGAAACACGCTCCAACCCTCAGCCTTTCACTGCTGGCCTTGCTTTTCAGGTGGTTTGATTTTTGTGTGTGTTGGGGGGTGGGGTAATTTTAGAAAAGCTTTAAAAACATGGAATGACTGAGGCTCACCAGCCAAAGTGTGTGGCTACGTTTAGCAATTATTTTTAGATAGCATGACAATTTCCAAGAACGTTCCTGTGCAACTTCTTGAATTCCTGTAGTTTAAACCTGTAAAAATTCTTTTCTCAAGAGCATGCAGAATTCTTAGTCATTGTTCATCATTTCCTATTATTTCGGTGAATCTTGGGAGGAAGGAAGTGAACGTGGTTTTCCCAGGAATATTGTTTTCAAGAGTTCACCCCCAGTGAAAAGTGAATTGTGCTGCAGCCACCTGAAGGCTTTCATAGCCTTCCTCAGCTGAGTGGCATTGTCTAATCCAGGAGAACAATGTGTCATTCTCTTAGGCGAACGCTTTAGTGTTTGGGGCAGTGAGACCCTCCAAAGCACTGGCAGCGATTTCAAGGATGTATTCAGAAGGATGTCAATTAAATTCTCCTACTCCAGAGACTACAGAAATCTGATAGAGCTGGATTAAAGGGAGGCATGCCAAAGAGTAGAAAATAAAGTGGGAGTCAGATGCAGTTGCTTGCTTCAGCCATCCTCATCGAAGCGAAGAGCGTGCGAGAAAAACACTGTTCTTCAGTTTATACTGCAGTAAGCATCTGTCAGGCCATCCTTGGGTCTGCTGTGCACTGAACCAAGCATCAGTGGCCTGAGTTGGAAAACTGAGGCCCAAGACAGGGGCCTGATAACTCACAAAGCCCTCCTCGACACTTGCACCCTGAGCTAAACTAAGTCCTTACCAGCCTTAGTATCTGTTTCTATTCAGGTTACTTAAGTTCCTCTGTTTGAGAGTTACCACATACTTCTAATTACTTCCACCGCCTAGTAGTGGACGGTATGGTAACCTATGGTTTTCCAAAGATTATTTTGTACCCATATGCACCATTGTGACTTGAGACTGGGTTTTACCAGTGAAGCTAAGATCCTCCATGAGAGTTTAACGAGCTAATATTATCAGACACAACATGTTTCATAAAAACAACTTCTCAAACTTTTGTTAAAACTCAGTTTTCTAATGAAAACTTTGCTATTTTTAACACCCCTACTTGAGAGGCTGGAGAGAGAGTTAAGAGGTGTTGCTGTGTGCAACTGTGAGATCTGAGTTTGGGTCTTGAAGCACCAACCTAACAAGCTGGGCATGGTGTCATGACTGCTAGCATCCAGAGCTAGGAGAGAGAGGACCAGAGACAGGAGGTTCCTGTGGCTTACTGAGATCAATGTTCAGGGAGAAACCTGACTCAGAGCAACAAGACAGAGGGTGATGGAACAGAACTCCCAGTGCCTTGGCATACACTATGTCCTTGGATTGGAACACCTTCCTGCCCTGTTCCACCATCAATGCTATACAGAAGTCACCATGCCCTTCTTCATAAAGGCTTTCAATAACCCACCCAGATAGGTAAAGTTTCTCATTTTAATCCTTCCTTCCTTTCTTCCTTCCTTCCTCCCTTCCTTCCTTCCTTCCTTCTTTCTTTTTGCTTGCTTTCCTCCCTCTGTTCCTCCCTCTTTCCCTCCTTATCTCTTTCCTGTCCTTCCTTTCTTCCTATTCTTTCTTCCTTCCTTCCTTTTTTTTTCTTCTGGACAGTGTTTCTTTGTGTAGCCCTGGCTGTCCTGGAACTTGTTCTGAAAGAG